ATATTTCCCCTGACAATTTCCGCGATGACAGACAACGTACGTGAGGGGGGGAGGAGGGGGAGGGAGGAGGAGGGGGGGGGGAGGGAGGAGGAGGGGGGGAGGGAGGAGGAGGGGGGGGGAGGGAGGAGGAGAGGGGGGAGGGAGGAGGAGGGGGGGGAGGGAGGAGGAGGGGGAGGGAGGAGGAGGGGGAGGGAGGAGGAGGGGGGGGGAGGAGGAGGGGGGGAGGAGGAGGAGGGGGAGGGAGGAGGAGGGGGAGGGAGGAGGAGGGGGAGGGAGGAGGAGGGGGAGGGAGGAGGAGGGGGAGGGAGGAGGAGGGGGAGGAGGAGGAGGGGGGGAGGGAGGAGGAGGGGGGGAGGGAGGAGAAGGGGGAGGGAGGAGGAGGGGGAGGGAGGGGGAGGGAGGAGGAGGGGGAGGGAGGGGGAGGGAGGAGGAGGGGGAGGGAGGAGGAGGAGGAGGGGGAGGGAGGAGGAGGGGAAGGGAGGAGGGGGGGAGGGAGGAGGAGCGGGAGGGGGGAGGAGGGGGAGGGAGGAGGAGGGGGAGGGAGGAGGAGGGGGGGGGAGTAGGAGGGGGGGTGGAGGAGGGGGGGGACAAAAAACATGTCATTTGCACAATATTTCATTTAAATTACCGGGAAATTATAATATCAGATGTCCCGCTTATCCTTTCAAGATGCAGCTATGAACAGTCATATTCTAGTGAAATTATTATAGTGTGTGTGTGTGTGTGTGTATATATATATATACATATTTTATATATATATATATATATATATATATATATATATATATATATATATATATATATATATATATATATATATATATGTACACAAGAGCTCACAGAGGCTTAACACATAACGATGGTTTTACCTGTGTTTTACAAGCGACATTGCCAATAGCTTCTGTTGGAAACTAATATTAAAATGGTCATATTTAGAAGAAAAACGGGGCATGTTGTATTATTTGGACAGAAAGGAAGCCAACGGTCACTAATAAGTAAATAGTCTCGTCATTGCCTAGCTTAATTTACATATTGATCCTACATAACCTTACATATATTTAATATAGCAACTCCCTCCTGTTTTGACAGTACATATAGTAACGACGAGGACGATAGTACATTTACCGACGTACAATCCTATTAGAATGTCTAAATGGGTAAACCGTCCAACCGAAGTGGTTGGGCACAATCCTAAGGCGAACAAGAATATTATTGGAAACTTTTATGGTTTAATTTGGAGTGCCGTAAGAGGTAAGGATATCTGCCTTACCTCTTATCTAGATATCTAGCAGATATCTAGATATCTGCCTTATCTGGAAAGGTCACCGGGCTCCTCACTGCATCACCTACAACTTATTTGGGCTACTCAGTTGAGTGGTATAGCAAATAGTAGGCATCCCTCAGTCTCAGGAGACTATGGAATTGCGCTCTGGTTGTCGGTCTGGAGTGGCCTCTCCAGGGCTCAAACCCAGGGTAGGCTGATACGGAGGAGAAGCTGTTACCCATGCAGCAGGTCCTCCCCCTCTCCACGGAGCCGAATGTCTCCAATGGAAACGAATAAAATATCAAATACCCAAACCACTAATACTGAAGCGCAAATAACATGCTGAAAAAATACATTTATTTTTTATATATTTTGCATTCTAATACATTCTTGTTTTGTGGTTTATATGGGATATGAATATCCACTACGAATGAGATAAAACTAGGCTATGCAAAATCAGCAAGGGAAAAATAGAAAAAGGCTGAAATTTTACCTAACAAATCCTGAATATGTTAACTAGATGTTTACCCAACAAATCCCATCCCATCCTAGCCCAGCTTACCTTAAACTAACCTAACCTAACCTAACCTTACCTTAAGCTAACCTAGCCCAGCTTACCTTAAGTTAACCTAACCTAACCTTACCTTAAGCTCACCTAACCTAACCTTACCTTAAGCTAACCTAGCCCAGCTTACCTTAAGCTAACCTAGCCCAGCTTACCTTAAGCTAACCTAGCCCAGCTTACCTTAAGCTAACCTGTTCGGGAAATTTTGTGAACAGGGCAGAATGCCTGTCACGGAGGCCCGTGTGACAGTGACGAACAGCGTGTACCAGAATATAACACGTTTTAGTTTCCAATCTTTAAAAATATATATTTTAGATCCAATCTTTAAAAATATACATAAACAGATACTCCATAAAGACTGCTCTGATATTCCACGTGCTATAGGATATTATATATATTCCACGTGATATATATATATATATATATATATATCCAGAGACACTGCTGTCTCCCTGATAACTACTCTACAGGTTAATTATTGGGTCCAATAGGCAGTACTGACTCCACTCTGGGACGGAATCGACGAGAAACACCAAACGACTCCGAGGAGGCCTAATGGGCAGTGAATAGAGGCAAAGGAAAGAGACAAAGACCTGGAGAAAACAGAACAGGCCAGAGCTGAAGAGGCAAGCACACTGTTAAGTGAGATGTAGAAAATAAGTTGATACAACACACTAGAAGGTGAAGGGACGACGACGTTTCGGTCCGTCCTGGACCATTCTCACAATCGACTTGAGAATGGTCCAGGACGGACCGAAACGTCGTCGTCCCTTCACCTTCTAGTGTGTGGTCTGGTCAACATACTTTAGCCACGTTATTGCGACTCATCGCCTGCATGTAGAAAATAAAACACCGAGACATGTTGTTTAAGATTCGCTACCCGGAACAAAACGTTCCAAGTAGCACGGGCTATGGTGAGCCCGTAGCTACACAGCCGCTGTCTCGTATGGGGGAATGGGCCTCCTGCATCTTTCTGAATTCTTATATTCTTAAAATTAAAGAACCATCCAAAGCAAAGAATCAGTCATATAAGTAGAAAAAGTCTACAGGTAAATACCATTTCCCCAAGACCGTACAAAACGCTTCAGAACTGTTGTAATAACTTAAAAACCATTTAAACCAAAGTTAAATGTTTAAAATGTCCCTCACAACATTGTACTTTTAAGCCACGCATGTGGTAAATATTGTCCCGAAAAAGCCTCGCCTCTTCAAGAAGAGGCTTTTGCCCGTCATTCAACTCCTAAAAGCGAAGATGTTCCTGAGCAATACCGGGAGTGCTCCCATTCCTTTAATAATATTTTCCCAGGCAATAGAAGGATATAAACATTAACTTGTGTGTGTGTGTGAAAGGTTAAAAAAAGAACTGTCCTCTTGGTTGCCGGTGATGTGGGTAAAAAAAAATGGGGAAAACAATTTAACATTTCGTTGAATAATTTGAACAAAATTTATGTCATACGTTTTAACCTTATTTGCTTGGCAACACGTAAGGTCTGGCTCGGGGGGGAAGGGGGGAGAGGGGGGGAAGTGTAAAGGGGGGTTAATGTAGGGGGGGGGTGTTATAGGAGGCAGGTTTTATCAGACATTTACGGCTCATCTCACGAAACCTGTACATCTTGATCAAGGCGGCTTTCTATTTAACAGTTTAGAAACTTCAAAAAAATCTAAATCTAAAATTTTTTATTGTTACGGACAACCTCGTAGCGCTTCCTAACTTTCTAAATAAATGTAAACCAAGCCACCATGACTTAAGAAAGATCTAGAGGTTTCGCAAGAGGACACGCAAATTCCTGACGACTCCTGTCCCCTAGCGCCTGTAATCTAAAAAGAAAAAAGTTCAAAAAAACTCCCCCAACGTTACAGAGCTGAAGTTACAAAAACTGTAACATGGACGTGTCAAAATATATTATACTTTGTCATAAACATTGATAAAAGTTACAGTATTCCTTTTGATATTATCATTAAACATAGTTTTATATTTTTTCGTTAGTCTGTTAGTGTCAGAATAATTGCTTCGTGCAGTGTTATGTCTGTAAATTTTATCTTGACAGCCTATAAGGTCTATGAACAAGAAATGTATTTAAATTGCTCAGTTACCAGTCAATAAGTCAAAGTTCAACACTTACCAGTCAATATTCTGTAGTCATCAGTGTATAGCTGTTACCAGTCAGTATTCTGTAGTCATCAGTGTACAGCGGTTACCAGTCAGTATTCTGTAGTCATCAGTGTATAGCGGTTACCAGTCAGTATACAGTAGTCATCAGTGTATAGCTGTTACCAGTCAGTATACAGTAGTCATCAGTGTATAGCGGTTACCAGTCAGTATACAGTAGTCATCAGTGTACAGCGGTTACCAGTCAGTATTCTGTAGTCATCAGTGTATAGCGGTTACCAGTCAGTATTCTGTAGTCATCAGTGTACAGCGGTTACCAGTCAGTATTCTGTAGTCATCAGTGTACAGCGGTTACCAGTCAGTATTCAGTAGTCATCAGTGTATAGCGGTTACCAGTCAGTATTCTGTAGTCATCAGTGTATAGCGGTTACCAGTCAGTATTCTGTAGTCATCAGTGTATAGCGGTTACCAGTCAGTATTCTGTAGTCATCAGTGTATAGCGGTTACCAGTCAGTATTCTGTAGTCATCAGTGTATAGCGGTTACCAGTCAGTATTCTGTAGTCATCAGTGTATAGCGGTTACCAGTCAGTATTCTGTAGTCATCAGTGTACAGCGGTTACCAGTCAGTATTCTGTAGTCATCAGTGTATAGCGGTTACCAGTCAGTATACAGTAGTCATCAGTGTACAGCGGTTACCAGTCAGTATTCTGTAGTCATCAGTGTATAGCGGTTACCAGTCAGTATTCTGTAGTCATCAGTGTACAGCGGTTACCAGTCAGTATTCTGTAGTCATCAGTGTATAGCGGTTACCAGTCAGTATTCTGTAGTCATCAGTGTATAGCGGTTACCAGTCAGTATTCTGTAGTCATCAGTGTATAGCGGTTACCAGTCAGTATTCTGTAGTCATCAGTGTATAGCGGTTACCAGTCAGTATACAGTAGTCATCAGTGTATACAAGTCTCCGGTCGGTGTATAAGCCAAACTGTTTGGATCTGTTGTGTAAAAAAAAAGTTATTTTGAAGCGATAATTCTCTATTTGACGATTCAGACACACAGATCCTTATGTATAGTGAATGTACTGGAATGTTGAGGAAACCCGAGTAGAACACGTGTACTGGGTTGTGGAGGAGACGTAGTGTAGCACACGTGTACTGGGTTGTGGAGGAGACGTAGTGTAGAACACGTGTACTGGGTTGTGGAGGAGACGTAGTGTAGAACACGTGTACTGGGTTGTGGAGGAGACGAAGTGTAGCACACGTGTCCTGGGTTGTGGAGGAGACGAAGTGTAGCACACGTGTACTGGGTTGTGGAGGAGACGTAGTGTAGAACACGTGTACTGGGTTGTGGAGGAGACGTAGTGTAGAACACGTGTACTGGGTTGTGGAGGAGACGAAGTGTAGCACACGTGTCCTGGGTTGTGGAGGAGACGAAGTGTAGCACACGTGTACTGGGTTGTGGAGGAGACGAAGTGTAGCACACGTGTACTGGGTTGTGGAGGAGACGTAGTGTAGAACACGTGTACTGGGTTGTGGAGGAGACGTAGTGTAGAACACGTGTACTGGGTTGTGGAGGAGACGAAGTGTAGAACACGTGTACTGGGTTGTGGAGGAGACGTAGTGTAGAACACGTGTACTGGGTTGTGGAGGAGACGTAGTGTAGAACACGTGTACTGGGTTGTGGAGGAGACGAAGTGTAGAACACGTGTACTGGGTTGTGGAGGAGACGTAGTGTAGAACACGTGTACTGGGTTGTGGAGGAGACGTAGTGTAGAACACGTGTACTGTGTTGTGGAGGAGACGAAGTGTAGCACACGTGTCCTGGGTTGTGGAGGAGACGAAGTGTAGCACACGTGTACTGGGTTGTGGAGGAGACGTAGTGTAGAACACGTGTACTGGGTTGTGGAGGAGACGTAGTGTAGAACACGTGTACTGGGTTGTGGAGGAGACGAAGTGTAGCACACGTGTACTGGGTTGTGGAGGAGACGTAGTGTAGAACACGTGTACTGGGTTGTAGAGGAGACGTAGTGTAGAACACGTGTACTGGGTTGTGGAGGAGACGAAGTGTAGCACACGTGTACTGGGTTGTAGAGGAGACGAAGTGTAGAACAAGTGTACTGGGTTGTGGAGGAGACGTAGTGTAGAACACGTGTACTGGGTTGTGGAGGAGACGAAGTGTAGAACAAGTGTACTGGGTTGTGGAGGAGACGAAGTGTAGAACACGTGTACTGGGTTGTGGAGGAGACGTAGTGTAGAACAAGTGTACTGGGTTGTAGAGGAGACGAAGTGTAGCACACGTGTACTGGGTTGTGGAGGAGACGTAGTGTAGAACACGTGTACTGGGTTGTGGAGGAGACGAAGTGTAGAACACGTGTACTGGGTTGTGGAGGAGACGAAGTGTAGCACACGTGTACTGGGCTGTGGAGGAGACGAAGTGTAGAACACGTGTACTGGGTTGTGGAGGAGACGAAGTGTAGCACACGTGTACTGGGTTGTGGAGGAGACGAAGTGTAGAACAAGTGTACTGGGTTGTGGAGGAGACGAAGTGTAGCACACGTGTACTGGGTTGTGGAGGAGACGAAGTGTAGAACACGTGTACTGGGTTGTGGAGGAGACGAAGTGTAGAACACGTGTACTGGGTTGTGGAGGAGACGAAGTGTAGCACACGTGTACTGGGTTGTAGAGGAGACGAAGTGTAGAACACGTGTACTGGGTTGTGGAGGAGACGAAGTGTAGAACACGTGTACTGGGTTGTGGAGGAGACGAAGTGTAGAACACGTGTACTGGGTTGTAGAGGAGACGAAGTGTAGCACACGTGTACTGGGTTGTGGAGGAGACGAAGTGTAGAACAAGTGTACTGGGTTGTGGAGGAGACGAAGTGTAGCACACGTGTACTGGGTTGTGGAGGAGACGAAGTGTAGAACACGTGTACTGGGTTGTGGAGGAGACGAAGTGTAGAACACGTGTACTGGGTTGTGGAGGAGACGAAGTGTAGAACACGTGTACTGGGTTGTAGAGGAGACGAAGTGTAGCACACGTGTACTGGGTTGTGGAGGAGACGAAGTGTAGAACACGTGTACTGAGTTGTGGAGGAGACGAAGTGTAGCACAAGTGTACTGGGTTGTGGAGGAGACGATGTGTAGAACACGTGTACTGGGTTTTGGAGGAGACGATGTGTAGCACACGTGTACTGGGTTGTGGAGGAGACGAAGTGTAGAACACGTGTACTGGGTTGTGGAGGAGACGAAGTGTAGAACACGTGTACTGGGTTGTGGAGGAGACGTAGTGTAGCACACGTGTACTGGGTTGTGGAGGAGAAACCCAAGAGTTGTGAGTGAACTGGGAGGCAGAGGAGCTTCAAGTGGCAGTTAACCCGGCACAATTGTTAAGACAACAGGGGCCAGATTCACGAAAGCACTTACGCAAGCACTTACGAACCTGTGCATCTTTTCTCAATCTTTGGCGGCTTTGTTTACAATTATTAAACAGTTAATGAGCTCCGAAGCACCAGGAGGCTGTTTATAACAATAACAACAGTTGATTATGAAGTTTTCATGCTTGTAAACTGTTTAATAATTGGAAACAAAGCCGTCAAAGATTAAGAAAAGATGTACAGGTTCGTAAGTGCTTTCGTGAATCTGGCCTTAGGAGTCGTGTGCCAAGACCCAGCACCAAGACCAAGCAAGCGGGTTCCAGCAGCTATGAAGCCTGGTGACGTGGGGTAGCCCAACCTGTCCTTCTATAAAGAACGTCGCTTTTCGCTCGTAGGCGTTACATAAGGCCAAAAAATTGTACCAGAAAACGGCAGCGGCTGGCGAAAGTGACGTACTGTCCCGTTTTCTGTCTTGAGTCCTCTTGTGGGTTAGAACACTTTAAATTGACCGTTTGGGCTGCACAATTGCCACACCAGACTCGGCATTATGCATGCACATATCCTCGTCCCCAGAAATACCCCGCCAATTCCCCCCGCGTGTATATAATAACGCCAAAATTTCCTGCCAAACTTCCTGCTGACATTTTTGTCCCGGAATTTTCTCCCGGCCTCTGTTGCCTCGTTAATTTCCCGCGCATTTTTCCAAGTCAATTTATCGTTACTGTTTACCTCACACAGCTGTGTCTTGGACGGGGGAGAAGGTAGGGGAGACGGGAGAGAAGGTAGGGGAGACGGGGGAGAAGGTGGGGGAGAAGGTGGGGGAGAAGGTAGGGGAGACGGGGGAGAAGGTAGGGGAGACGGGGGAGAAGGTAGGGGAGACGGGGGAGAAGGTAGGGGAGACGGGGGAGAAGGTAGGGGAGACGGGGGAGAAGGTAGGGGAGACGGGGGAGAAGGTAGGGGAGACGGGGGAGAAGGTAGGGGAGACGGGGGAGAAGGTAGGGGAGACGGGGGAGAAGGTAGGGGAGACGGGGAGAAGGTAGGGGAGACGGGGGAGAAGGTAGGGGAGACCGGGGAGAAGGTAGGGATGGCAGGGCGGGGTAGGGGAGACACAGGGACGTAGAGGAGGCAGGTAGGGGAAGGCAGGTAGGGGAAGGCAGGTAGGGGAAGCCAGGTAGGGGAAGGCAGGTAGGGGAAGGCAGGTAGGGGAAGGCAGGTAGGGGAAGGCAGGTAGGGGAAGGCAGGTAGGGGAAGGCAGGTAGGGGAAGGCAGGTAGGGAAGGCAGGTAGGGGAGGCAGGTAGGGGGAGGCAGGTAGGGGAAGGCAGGTAGGGGAAGGCAGGTAGGGGAAGGCAGGTAGGGGAAGGCAGGTAGGGGAAGGCAGGTAGGGGAAGGCAGGTAGGGGAAGGCAGGTAGGGGAAGGCAGGTAGGGGAAGGCAGGTAGGGGAAGGCAGGCAGGGAAGGCAGCCAGGGGAGGCAGGTAGGGGAGGCAGGTAGGGGAGGCAGGTAGGGGAAGGCAGGCAGGGGAAGGCAGGTAGGGGAAGGCAGGTAGGGGAGGCAGGTAGGGGAAGCCAGGTAGGGGAAGGCAGGTAGGGGAAGGCAGGTAGGGGAAGGCAGGTAGGGGAAGGCAGGTAGGGGAAGCCAGGTAGGGGAAGCCAGGTAGGGGAAGCCAGGTAGGGGAAGCCAGGTAGGGGAAGCCAGGTAGGGGAAGCCAGGTAGGGGAAGCCAGGTAGGGGAAGCCAGGTAGGGAGAGGCAGGCCGAGGACAAAGGTGTCAATATATTAATTTTTCAAAGAGAGGAAATAAAGGAAAGGAAGGACGATGGAAGAGAGAAAATGAAAAAAGGGAAAATAAGGGAAATGAAGAAACAGGAAAGAGTTACAACGGAAAAACAAAAATCATGTAACTAAGAAACGTAATCAAAATAACTATAGAAAAATCAGTACCAAAAAAAAATTTAAGTAAAATAACAATAATTTAGAAAGAGGAGAAAACCTATAAAATAAAAATATAGAAAGAGGAGAAAACCTATAAAATAAAAATATAGAAAGAGGAGAAAACCTATAAAATAAAAATATAAAAAGAGGAGAAAACCTATAAAATAAAAATATAGAAAGAGGAGAAAACCTATAAAATAAAAATATAGAAAGAGGAGAAAACCTATAAAATAAAAATATAGAAAGAGGAGAAAACCTATAAAATAAAAATATAAAAAGAGGAGAAAACCTATAAAATAAAAATATAGAAAGAGGAGAAAACCTATAAAATAAAAATATAGAAAGAGGAGAAAACCTATAAAATAAAAATATAGAAAGAGGAGAAAACCTATAAAATAAAAATATAGAAAGAGGAGAAAACCTATAAAATAAAAATATAGAAAGAGGAGAAAACCTATAAAATAAAAATATAGAAAAGCAGATCATAAATAATTACGTCCATGATTAAATTACTTTAAAAAGTACTAACAAATAGCTTAAAAAAAACACGTCATTACCTTACTATTAATTACCACTCATTTCCAGCTATCTCCTTTATACATCCTACAATATCATCCCCCATTATACATTAGCAATTTCTTCCCCATTACATTATGGAAAGTTCAAATTAAACCTGATGAAATAATACTTAAGAACGGCACCCGAGTGAATTTCAATATCAATGGAATATTTTCATATATAATACATTCCTAGTGGAATGAGTTCACTGTTGGTGATAGATTAAAGCTTCAGGCGCAGCCAGATAGATAGCTATGAACCTAACAGTGCTGCCTGGACAGGTTCGTTGTGCTTCGCCTTATATTACATATATATATATATATATATATATATATATCACAGCCACCCAGGTGATGCAAGCTTAATTGGCTTCGGGGTTTTTGCAATCTCGATATATATTATTGCGTCAAACTGTGGGTGGCAGAATATTGGCGAATGGAGTGAGAGAATACAGTAAGCTAATTTAGTACTACGCTAACCAAGTTTAGAGGATTTTTAACAATACAACTGGATGTAGTTTTGTATTCGCAGCACGATGCAATCGGAGGGAAATAGGACAGGAGTCATCGATTTGAACAATCAACGGCTTGAAAACGCGGGGTCCAAGAGCTAATGTTCGATCCTGCAGGCACAAATGGGTGACTACAAATAGGTGAGTAGACACGCACACACCTCCCAATCCCCCCTCCCACCCCTCCAACACTCCCAGTACCCCCCCCCCCATCCCCAACACACTCCCCCCTCCCAACACACTCCCACCTCCCAATTCCCTCAACCCACTCCAAACACACTCCCAGTCCCACCCCCTCCCACCCCAACACACTCCCACCTCCCAATTCCCTCAACCCACTCCAAACACACTCCCAGTCCCACCCCCTCCCACCCCAACACACTCCCACCTCCCAATTCCCTCAACCCACTCCAAACACACTCCCAGTCCCACCCCCTCCCACCCCAACACACTCCCACTTTCCAGTCCCCCCACTCCCCCCCCCCTCCAGCACACCCCAAGCCCCCCTCTCCCCCCTCCCCCTCCAACACACACCCATCAACCAGCGCCCCCAATATATATATATTACCGCCCAGAGCATTCTCAGCATGCTCTTCGATCGCTTTGGCGATATCTGAGGCCAATAACTCATCATAGCATTGGAATAATCATCTTCGATGTCCACTCAACGCTGAGGTAGTGATGATACCGGCACCCTGCCCCCGTGACGCGCGCATTACACTTCATCATGATGAACATATGATGCTAACTCGAACATCTCATGAGCTCGTATAAATAGTGGAGGCTTTGAGATGAATAGCTTTGTCGAGATATCTTGTCTAACTGTAGGATCCTGTTGACCAAACCACACACTGGAAAGTGAAGGTGACGACGACGTTTCGGTCCGTCCTGGACCATTCCCTAGTCGACAATCGACTTGAGAATGGTCCAGGACGGACTGAAACGTCGTCGTCCCTTCACTTTCTAGTGTGTGGTTTGGTCAACATATTTCAGCCACGTTATTGTGACTCATCTTCTGTAGGATTCTGTGTGGCAGTGAATATGAGCAGCATCTTCACTATCCTGTGTGGCAGTGAATATGAGCAGCATCTTCACTGTCCTGTGTGGCAGTGAATATGAGCAGCATTCTCACTGTCCTGTGTGGCAGTGAATATGAGCAGCACCCTCACTATCCTGTGTGGCAGTGAATATGAGCAACACCCTCACCATCCTGTGTGGCAGTGAATATGAGCAGCACCCTCACTATCCTGTGTGGCAGTGAATATGAGCAGCATCCCCACTGTCCTGTGTGGCAGTGAATATGAGCAGCACCCTCACTATCCTGTGTGGCAGTGAATATGAGCACCACCCTCACCATCCTGTGTGGCAGTGAATATGAGCAGCACCCTCACTATCCTGTGTGGCAGTGAATATGAGCAGCATCCCCACTGTCCTGTGTGGCAGTGAATATGAGCAGCACCCTCACTATCCTGTGTGGCAGTGAATATGAGCACCACCCTCACTATCCTATGTGGCAGTGAATATGAGCAGCATCCTCACTATCCTGTGTGGCAGTGAATATGAGCAGCATCCTCACTATCCTGTGTGGCAGTGAATATGAGCAGCACCCTCACTATCCTGTGTGGCAGTGAATATGAGCACCATCCTCACTATCCTGTGTGGCAGTGAATATGAGCACCATCCTCATTGTCTTGTGAGACAAGTGCATATGAGCAACAAAATGTTTAATACTACGTGTTCAGTTAACAAGATCTCTTTCTTTCTCTTCAATAACACCAAGTCTTAATGGCTTCAGCCATTAGCCATAAAGACCTCTTTATGACTCGGTACTTCCAATGGACAAATCAATGGACAATGGACAAATCTCCAACTACGTTTTAAGCGTCAGTGGAACAAAAATTTTGTCCAAATCCCGAATCAATACAATGTAATAAATCCACAAATAAATTTTCAAAATCATATTTAACATAGTGGAAAACAA